CCTGGGGCGGCTGGTGCGAGAGGAGAGAGGACTTCCAGCAACGCAGCGGGCAGAGTCCTGGCTTTGGCTTCAGCTTTATGGCACTGCGGTACAGCAGAGCACGACGCCAACGGTTACCATTAGAGCTGTCTCTAGTGAGAGTTAAAACAAAGCTTTGGGGTATTCGTGCTAAACAGAACCTGAGTTTTGTGCAACGTGCGGAGCCACAGAAGGGCTCCTTCAAACCTATTTAACTGTTCAGCCCGCTGTGGAACAGAGCCTTGCCGAGGGCGATGCCCGTGCAGAGCGAGGCTGCCGAGACTGGCGGCCGGGCACAAGGCTGACGCACCCAGCAGCTCCTGCCCTCTAACCAAAATGAATGAGAGGGTTGAAGCGTTCGCGAGGAGGCACGGCTAACACCTCTCTTACATGGCTTCTCTGAGATTCATTTTCAGCAGTAAAGATTTGTTGGAAACGCGACCCAAAAAAAAAAAAAAAAAAAAAAAAAAATATCGAAACAGAAGATTATGACAGCAGGGCTAGACAAACCCTTGGAATTCCAGCTGGAGTGAGCAACACGCTTTGCACAGCTCCGCCGATTCCAGGAGTATGGAGTCCAGGAGTATTTCAGCTCTTCAACGATCCCTGAATAACATGATGGGAAGCCTTGCGACATGGCTGCTCCCGTGACCGCAAGGCAGCAGAGACGTGGCAAGGAGCACCCTGCCCTCAAAGAGAGCTGGCCAGAAGATGGAAGGGAAGAAAAGGGAGCACGGCCTTTCAGGGAGATCATGTCAAGGGACTATGAAGGAGGCCTGAAAAGGGCATCCGTGACTTTTTCGTTCCCCGAAAATGCTTTTGCACATGGAAGCATCGTGAAGCGCAGCAAAGATGCGAGGGGACCGACTGCCGTACCCTATCGACTCCTGGCTGGAGTGGTATCAAAGTGCTTTTCCTGCTGCAGAGCAGAGCTAAATCGATGCAAAAGAGAATTCTGCTCTCCTGGCAGCTCTGGCTGCTCTCACCGCCCTTACGGTCTCCTCTTGCAGCTCAGCTCCACGCGCACACTTTGCACTAAAAATAGGACTCCGAGGCAATTTAAGCATGCCTGCTTAAAAGGTCTGTTCTGTAAATACCAGCCTGTCGGTGGGGGAACCATGCCTGGTCCTGCAGAAATAACGCTGTCCAGAGGGACGCCCGTGCTGAAGAGGCACTGAGGCACGCCTGCTCCTGCTGGAGGAGACATCCGTGGGCCAAGGGGATGGCCGGCTCCTTGGCCGAGCTGCACGCCTGCAGGAGAGGCAATGGAAAACGCCAGGAGGAACAAAAAAACCAAAGAGGGTTTGGCCCTGGAAATGGGGCTGAAAGCACGAGAGGAGCAGGGGCTTCATGGAGAGCGGGGTCTCTGAAGGCTGGCAGACACAGCTCGTGCGTCTTCGGGGACATCAGCTGGAAAATGACTGTCAGGAAGAGCCCTGGGAGACCGCAAGGGAATGCAAAGGGATGGGTCACGCCTGCCTGGATGTGCCTGTCTGAGAAAAATCATCCATGACACCACCGCAAACGGAGCAGCCAAAGCTCGGGTCGGAGGAGGGCTCTGAAGAGGGCGACCGCAGTCAGGGAACCCCCAAATCTTTAGAAATTGTGGCGTTTTCAACATGAGAAAGGCAGGACCTTTTCTTCCTTTCGACCTTGTCTGCGGCCACGTTTTCAGAATGCAGAAGTTCCTCTCTCCTTTGGTCCATCTCAGCTGGGGCTCTCCCTGCGATGAGCTCTGCGTTTCTCAGCAGGAGTTAACCCTCAGATACCCACAGCCTCGGACCGTACAATAACAACACGTAGCGCTCACACCCCCTTACGTTGGTACCCTCTTCTGGGCTCCCTTAGCTTTGGGGAAAGCCCTCAGGAACAGCCTCTGCCAGGGGGAGAGACCGCACGTGAAGGCATCGCCAAAGCGAACCGCACTAAATGCAGTAGGTCCCCACGTGCCCCCCCCCTGGGTCTGAGCGCCATCGCTGCCATCGCTCTGGCGGGATCCCGGACCTCAGACCGTTGGGTCGCACTCCCAAGGTCACCCAGCCCATCTGCGCCACGACGCTGCGGGTGGTCAGAGCTGCGTGCTGGGGACGCGGCACCGCGCTAGGGCCGGTTAGGGACCCCGTGCCATGCTCGGCCGCACGTCAGTACGCGCTTCGTTTCATCACGCAGGCTAAAACCCACTTTGGGAATGTGCCAGCATAGCAGCAACCGTTTGTATTCCCGTTAGAAAAAACGCAAAAGCTCGTTATGCCGAAAGTGGAATTCACACTTTGCTCCCCTACGATACGGGACCGAGCTAAAGAGCCCCCCCTGCACACGATCTTCAGTGCTTTATCGCCAGTCATTTCTGTTTTACCCAAATGAAAAATAAAGACCCATTACGAAGCAAAAGTCTCAGGAATTTTTATGAGACTGTAATGCTTCCAATTTATGCTGAAAAAGGCCAAAATCCTCCAGCTGTCCGTTGCTCCTGCCGGCAGGGGTGGAAGACGCCGCTGGCAGCGCCGCGCGTGTTTTCAGCGAGCAGTTAACGCACGTACGGCGTGGAACAGCCACCCGCTGCTCAGTCGTGTGCCGCCAAGAACTCGTACTTAGCCACTGTCTACATTCACAGAAACTTTCTAGCACGATCCTATAGCACCCTTTATCTACTTCTTAATGAAGGAACAGCTTTTCTTTACAGGTGTTATTTCCCACAACCGCAGCACCTTAACACCAGCCCTAGAAAAGGTATCAGAGCCCGCTGAAGGCAGGATGGGACACGACGACCGCCCAGCAAAGGAGCCTCCAGCTGCATGGCACAAGCGTGGAAGGGGGCAAGAGACGCATGGGTATGAAGGGGCAAAGACGGAGCCCACCCCCAATAACCTCTGCAGCCAGCAGCCAGCCCCGGGAGCCTGGCAGACAGATGAATTTGAAATGCCTGGGGTGCCACTTACCAATCCACAGAAGGGAACGCTGCATTTTGCTACTCAGCTGTGCCAATGTTTGAAAATCATCTGTATCTGAGAATCCACACTTTCCCCGCATTAGTCACTATGAGTACAAACAGGTTTTTTTTTTTCTTCTTTTTTTCCCCTTGACAGAAAATCTGGTGCCATTCTGAGGGCCTGGACAGGCGCGGCGCGGGTGTTGGTACGCGCACGCCCTGATGGCAGACAAGCCAACAAACCCCGCGGCAGCACCTGGGCGCCAAAGCCCTTCCCGCAGCCTGGGACCTGCTGTCACTCACCTCGGAAAGGCGTCGGCAGCGCCGTCCTGCGCCTGACTGACCGCGACCAGCGAGGGCACCGCGGCTTCGAGGAGCGAACAGGTAAGGCAAAAAAAAAAATTAAAAAAGAAGTGCTCTTAGGGCAGCGCCTCACTCTGAGCCAGAATAAACATCGGAAGGACGCGGCAGAGCGTCATTTGGGGCAGAATGCAAAGACAAAAGCAGTTTCTTTTTAACAATCTGGATAATTTCCTTGGGAATGGAAACATGGAGAGCCAAGCGAAGTTATGGTTACGTCCGTGGTGCGGGCACTGTCCTCTGCGGTCGTGGGGCATCTTCCATGCAGCAGTAACAGCGGCCGCATCTTCTACTTTAATATGGAAGTGCAATTGCAGAACCAGGGGGAAAAGGGATTATTTTCTGTTTGCTTCTTGAAACAGCTGCCACTTTCCCCAGACCTGTTTGTTTTCAGGACTGCAGGGGTTTAATCTTTAAAACAATAATATTATTACAATATGTGTCAAATGCTGTTTTCTAACAGAAGAAAACAAATCGCTTCCACCTCTAAGCAGCTGTAGCCAGTCAATAACACAAACAGCGCTCCAAACCTCAGGCTAGCATCTCTGTCCAGCAGCGCCCACCCCGGGCAAACTCCCGCACGTGAACCCGAGCACGCCCCCCGCAGCCGGAGGAGCCCTGGCGGGGACCAGGCCGCTACCCAAACCCTGCTGACTCCTCCAGGGGCTTCACTGTGCCCACAACAGCCAGAAGAAAAATCACTGAGTGAACCCAAAAAATTCCCTCGAGATTAAACTCCCCAGCGGAGGGAAGCAGATCCACTGCAAGGCCGGCCGCAAGGCTCACCCAAATGAACCACAGCCACGGGGCTGATTTCTCTCCCACGCCGCCGCGTGCCGGCACAGCGGTCGCCTCGCTTCAGAACGGGAAAACACAACGGAAACCTTAAAGAAGTCTCACTTTGGCTGACTCTGCTTAGGGAACGATTGAGCTGGCATCAGCTCTGCATTTGCTAGAAACGCACCCAGAGAAAATAAATATCTCACAGCTCTGAACAGAGACACACAACAAGAACCCCCCCGTCACCCTCGGACAGACAAAATCCCCCCCAGACAGCGAAGCGCGGGAGTGCCAACCTCCCCGGCAGCAAGCTCGGCCCTGGGGCTCGAGCAGATTGCCCCAGGAGAGGGGAATTTGTCGTCGTCCTACCTGCAGAAGCCAGTAGCACCTTCTGTGAAACGTGGGGATGATGGAGGAATGGACGTAGCATCCGTACAAGCACTAGGGACACAAAAAGAGAGAAAGCAGAGTCGGGTTAGCAAAGGAGACCGTCACGCGCGGAGGCAGCGCCGGAGGGGGCCGGCAGCCGTTACCCGCTCCCTGAAGCCAGTCCGGGGCTGGGAACGCGCGCCACCGGCTTACAGCACCCCACAAGTTTTTTTTAAACATTGCTACAGGTCACAGAATCTGTGAATTTAATTTAAACATTGCTACAGAATCACAGAACCACAGAAGGGAGGCTCCCCCGCTGCTCTGCGCCCCGACGCACGACACAGAGCGGGGTTTGCTCAGCTACATTTTCACCTTTACTTCAAACCATTTTTATTCTTTAAAAAACACAACACAAACATCTCTTTTCCATGGTTTATCACCTGGGTGCGCACACGGAAAATTTAGGGTTTGCAAATGGAAAAAATTGCTGTCAGGTATGTTATAGAGTGAAATTCCAAAATGGAGTTGCTTTTTTTTCCTTCTTTTTTTTAAATGCTTCTCTGGATAACTGAAATCAGTAAGGCTAAGGAATCCTTTCTGCAGGCAAAAAATCAGATTTCCACTATGTTAAGACTTTTCGACACCGCTGTCGGTTGGGGGCGAAGCCCGGCACAAACCAAACGCACAAAACTGGGTTTAATTTACCAGATCCCAGTACGATTCCTGTCCACAAGATTTGTTTATTACCAAGGAAGCAACGGTATTTTCTGCCCCTGCTGGCTGTTAAAGCGGCGCTCGTGGGGGACGGGTGCACCCGCAATGACACCTCTGCCCAGAGC